CCTTAAAATTCAGGGAAATGAAGGACGCATGTGAGGGCCGCATTTCGAGCAGCCTTTGAATTGGGACAGCCTTCGTCTGTCGCAGTTACGTAATTGAAATGCGGCAGACGAAGGCTGCAGACCCTGGATTGGGATACAACCAGGGCTGGGTATCATCACTGATTTCTAGAATCGATTCAATTCCGATTCACAAGGTCCCGAATCGATTCGATCCACGATTCGATTTAATTCGATTCGATTTGAATCTGGGAAATTTTGACAGTCAGAAATATTATAATTCAGATCGGTACATTTACATATTTTTGTATCTATAAAAAGGAAGCTGACACACGCAAGACTTTATCACAGGTGTGAGCGTCACAGCCAGACCTTTGTGTCAAAGCAGCTGAAGATAAAACAGAAAAACATGAAGGTTTTCCTGTTCTGGATTTTATAAAAATATTCTGCAGCACATCAAAAACGAAAGACAACCATTAATCAACATATGAACATCACCTCTGACGTTACAGCGGTTTTATTAGAGACACAGCGTTTTGCATTTTGCATAATTTTAAAGTCTAAATTTGTTCAGTATTGAACGGCAGAAATTAGGTTTACTTTTCGGAAGTTAGTAAAAGGAAAAAAAAACAAAAAACAGCGACTGACAGGCTGTAAACAGCGGTAGACTTGTGTGTAACAAGCAAGCGAATAATGCAGAAAAGAGATTTTTAGACTGGAAACTGTTCTTGAAGTACAGAGAGAGAGAGCTGTGCATCGTGGTGGAAGCAAAACAGCAAAAGTCAGAGTGAGTTCATGACGATGTTCATGTGAAGTTTGGATCTTCTTTTGCTGCTGGTTCGGTCAATGTTGTTTGGAGATAAACTAACAGCTTTAGAATCGGCGCAAGAAGGGCGTGAACACAAAGCGCCGACACAGAGTCAGCGAGCTGTCGGCTTTCAGCCCCGACTGTGAGAAAGGCGACACTAACTGATTCTGATCCGCGGGTTTAGTCTTTGTGCAGAAGCCGTGTTCCTGCTCTCATTTACTGTTTCAGCTGTTTGGTGGTTGTTGAAATTTTGTGAGATGTCACCTGAGATTCTGGCATTTCGGGCAAAATACATTTATATTAAATCGATTCAGGATTTTAATGAATCGATTGTAATCGATAAATCGATTATAAAAACCCAGCCCTAGATACAGCCTTTGTTTACTCATTTTCCATGAGGAAAACTGATTAGCGTTAGTGTCATAATGCCATCCATCCAGCTGTGGAGGGGCACAGCTGTGACATAATATAAAGCAGATGAACTACACCCACATTATAACCAGTCAGTTATAAGTCAGGCTCAGACTTCTAAACCACCAAACACACAAAGTCACGGGCGGGACAATCTGTGAAATCTCCTCTTATATTGTAGCTCACCTGTAATTATGTGTTGTCACGTCTGGAGATGAAAACTGGGCATTTCCGTAGCTGAAATATCCGGAAATGCCGTCACACTGCAGGAAACGGGTACGCACGAGGGACGCGGGGGAAGTGTTATTAGATGAATGATCAGAGATAACAGCCTCGATCACTGCTGCTCGGTTTATTAAACCTGTTGTACATGTGCCCCACTACTCGTGTTAAACATGTGTTTAGGACCAGTGAGCGTCACAGCAGGACATGTGCTCCTCGGCAGAGGTGGGTGGCTCTGAAAAGAGCCGTTGGGTGGATGCAGCAGAGCTGCAGTTTACTTGGAGCTGGTGTACTTGGTCACGGCCTTGGTGCCCTCGGACACGGCGTGCTTGGCCAGCTCACCGGGCAGCAGGAGGCGCACGGCGGTCTGGATCTCCCTGGAGGTGATGGTGGAGCGCTTGTTGTAGTGAGCCAGGCGGGAGGCCTCAGAGGCGATGCGCTCGAAGATGTCGTTGACGAACGAGTTCATGATGCTCATGGCCTTGGAGGAGATGCCGGTGTCGGGGTGCACCTGCTTCAGCACCTTGTACACGTAGATGGCGTAGCTCTCCTTCCTGGTCTTTCTCTTCTTCTTGCCTCCCTTGCCGGCGGTTTTAGTCACGGCTTTCTTGGAGCCCTTCTTGGGCGCGGACTTTGCGGGTTCAGGCATTTTTCTTTTTTGCTACTTCACAGCAGAGAATGTGCCCGTCAGCGCAGAGCGGCTCTCTTTTATTTCCGCTGTATGCAAATAAGGCTGTGTAGATCCGCGCCTGTCATTGGTCGAGCTGTTGCTCCGTTTCTTTAGTGGGTAAATCGCACAACGAAGAAAAAGAGCAGTGCTTTATTTAACCTGCTGACGGGGCTGTGGGACATTTATCGGGAGTGCGGAAGAGCAGATTTAAATGTGTTGCTTCAGTACGTGTGCAGACAAACATTGATCCATGTGTGAGTTACAACATCACACAAAGACCGAGACAGCCGACGGAAGCTCCGGGAGAGGCTCGGCTGATAATGACGGTCCTTCGAGAGCCGCACAGCGGACTGCAGAGCCCAGGACGCCGCAGCTGCCAGAAACAGAGACTTTGTTTATCCCCCAGGACCCAGCAGAGCAGCATGACGCTGAAGATAAGGGCGGGGCATAAACAGGCAACAGGAGTGAGATAATAAATTCACAGAATATACAGTATAGACAGTTTTCAAATTAAAGTGAAAGGTGAATAAAAAACTGATTAAAAGTGAGTACAGGTGTCGGCAGTATGAAAAGAGTGTAGTTTGTTTCTGGGTGTGGGAAATGGTCCAATGGCTGGAGTTAAAAAGCTCTCCAGTAGCTGTGAGCTGCAGTTTGATCGTATATGAACAGATTGTGTCAACCAGGGGTGGGCAACTGCAGGCCTCGAGGGCCGGTGTCCTGCAGGTTTTAGATCGCACCCTGGGTCAACACACCTGAATCACATGGTTAGTTCATTACCAGGCCTCTGGAGAACTCTAAGAAATGCTGAGGAGTCATTTAGCCCTTTAAATCAGCTGTGATGGATCATGGACACATCTAAAGCCTGCAGGACACCGCGAGGCCTGCAGTTGCCCACCCCTGATGTAAACCATAACGACAGTGCACTAATCCACACTTTCATCCTAATTGGCAGCAATAACTGAAATGACAGAAAGTTCTGGTAGCTCTCTGCCCAGCCTGCTTTTATTTAACAGCAGTTTAATGATTGGAGCAAAACGTCTGAGCAGCAGATCAAACAGGTTACAATGATCATTTAATTATAAATGACTTGAAGTGCATATTGAGGCTGCGAGACACTGAGCCATGGCTCTGTTCTTATTGCACATCTCTGCCATGCAAGACGGTTTATTTTATATTGAGCTGGAGCTTTAGTTTTCTCCCCTCCCCAAACTTCTGTGTTCATATAAAACACTTTTAGGGAGAACATGAGGTTTAAAGCCTGGCTCAGTGAAACTTTGTCCTCCAAGCTGAAACCTCAGAGTGTCTCCATCCAGCTGCTTATGAACTCTGCAGTCCTGGAACCACTCAAACGCAACTGCGCTGGGCCTGCACCGCTACACACCTGTGTAGTAATACAGTACAATCAACACTAACCCACACTGCATGCGCTGTTAGCGAGCAGCAGACTCCAAACAGCACTGAGGGCCAGGTGATAGTCTGTGCTGTAAACCGCTGCTCTGAGTGCGTGTACGTGGCTCTTAAAAGAGCCGTTGTGTTTGGTGTAAACTGGTCTCAGATCAGATTAAGCCCTCTCTCCGCGAATGCGACGGGCAAGCTGGATGTCTTTGGGCATGATGGTGACCCTCTTGGCATGGATGGCGCACAGGTTGGTGTCCTCAAACAGACCGACCAGGTAAGCCTCGCTAGCTTCCTGCAGAGCCATGACGGCGGAGCTCTGGAAGCGCAGGTCTGTCTTAAAGTCCTGAGCGATCTCCCTGACCAGGCGCTGGAAGGGCAGCTTACGGATCAGCAGCTCGGTGGATTTCTGGTAGCGGCGGATCTCCCTGAGAGCAACAGTCCCGGGCCTATAACGGTGGGGCTTCTTCACGCCTCCGGTAGCCGGGGCGCTTTTACGGGCAGCCTTGGTGGCGAGCTGCTTCCTGGGAGCTTTTCCTCCGGTGGATTTACGGGCAGTCTGCTTGGTCCTGGCCATCTTACAGCTTCGGGCTCCTCTGCGTGAACAGCGAAAGAGAGAATGAAGTCTGAGCGCGAGCAGCGGCTTTATACAGGGGCTGCAGGCGGGAGCTCAGCGCTGATTGGTCCAGATCTGGTAGCGCGCGCACCGCAGCTGCTCAGCTATTGGACGAAAATGTTCAAAATGAAGCGCGAGACAGAGCAGAACTTCTTTATTGTTATTCAGATGTACAGTGAGACGGCGCCGCCTACTACTGCACACATGCGGGGTGCACAGCTTCAGCAGCACTTTACACATATGAACACTATTCAAAAAGATACGATGTGCGAACAAACCGGGAAAAATAAAAATACATTAGTGTTACATAATGTAGAGTGTGGGTTACTGCACAGTGCTTATAGATGTGAAGTCTACAGAGGTCTTTGAGATGGGGGGCTAACTCAAATTTAACTGTAAACAACAGCAGGTAATAAACTAGTAAACCAAGAAAACCGTCATCCACAGCTTCAGCTCCTGTCATCAGCACCAGAATAAACTGGAAATATTTGCAGCACTGACTGGGAAATAATTCAGGTTTCAAAGTTTCATTGAATCACTGCCTAGCTAATTATCAGATTGTATTCATAAGACTCAAACTCATGTTTCTAATGTTCTGACAATTCAACATGCATTTCCCCCTTCAGTGAGCTTAACTGGGAGACCAGTATTTACTACCTGAAGCAGCTCAGTCTCCATAATTTACTCTGCATGTGGAGGCACAGGTGAGCATGAAGCGTAAAGCTGAGTGTGCAGCCTGTGTGTCCCCGGCACAGACAGACAGACAGAACGAGGAGCTCGTAGCGGAGGCAGTGGTGGCTCTGAAAAGAGCCTTTGATGCACTCTGTGCGGGAGCAGCTTTTACTTCTTGGCCTTCTTTGGCGCAGTTTTCTTTGCGGGCTTCTTGGCGGCTTTGGGCTTTTTCGGAGCGGCCTTCTTAGCGGGGGACTTGGGCTTCTTAGCTGCCGCCTTGGGCTTCTTGGGAGCAGCCTTCTTGGGGCTCTTCTTCACCACTTTCTTCGCAGCCTTCTTGGCCGGAGATTTCTTCGGGGTGGCCACTTTCTTCACCGCGGGCTTCTTGGCTTTGGCGGGAGCCTTTTTCGCGGGCTTGGCAGCCTTCTTCTTCGCTGGTTTCGCGACTTTCGGTTCTTTCTTAGCAAGCTTGAAGGAGCCGGAAGCCCCGGTGCCCTTCACCTGACTGAGAATGCCTTTCTCCACCAGCTTGGCGACGGCGGTGTTGATACGTTTGTTGGCCTTGGGTACGTCCACATTTTTGGCGGTCAGGTATTTCTTTATGGCCGCCAGCGACGTCCCCTTGCGCTCCTTCGACTCTGTCACCGAGGCGACGATGAGCTTAGGGAGGCTGGGTCCGTCCTTCTTAGCCCGGGGAGCGGACTTCTTCTTGGGAGCCTTGGCCGGGGCTTTCGCCGGTGCAGCTGCGGGAGCTTCTTCTGCCATGTCTGCGCGTGAGCTTCGTACTGAGCATGTCGGAGCTTCGCGCGGGAGGCGGGACTTATCAAGCACATGAGAACCATGGAGAGTGAAGCCAGCCCTCCGCTCTGCTGCCGCTACAATCGCGGCTCTTCTTGTGTTTTCTTCGCCGCGTTTCGGAGCTCAAACCGGCCCCTGATAAACGTT